GTGTGTGTGTGTGTGTGTGTGTGTGTGTGTGTGTGTGTGTGTGTGTTGGGGGTAAATTTAGATTCAGGTTGTAAATTGAGTTTCTCAGAAAAAGGTTGGCTGTAGAATGGCAGCCGTGTTTGGTATCTTGTCTGTGAGAGGTTACGCTTCCAAGGTGTGCGATGGCAGCACTGCGTGTCTTGATCTCTATTTAGGGAAACTCTGGTGTTCCATCTCAGAGTTCACTGCTTCTGAGAACCCCCCCCTCCCCTCCCGCTTTGCGGTTCCAATAATGTCTTCCAGATGACCAGTTGTCCTACATGGAGTTCTGTGTGTGCTGTGGTTAGAGGGACTTTGGTAATCCAGTTTTCTTCACACGCAACATGCCAGCCTGAGCGCTGCACTGGCCAAAGAGGATGTGGATTTGGATGAAGTGGTTCTTTATTTGCTTGTTTGAACCCTCTGTGGTGGAAGAGGGTAGTTCCTCGGTAATGAGCAGCACGCACGCATCAATGGGGACCAGTAGATGCCTGATTCAAAAAATTCGTAATAATTTTTAAGGGAGAAAGAAAGAAAAATATGGTCACTAGAAAGGGTTCCATTCATAGTTTGTGAGCGTTTTGAAAACTGCAGACTCTGTGTTGGAACAGTTGAGCCTTTCAGTAGAGTACCCTTTCAAAATACGCCTCTGCAAATCCAAATAAAATCCCTGCCAACCCCTTCATGCTTTCATGTCCACACCTGGGTGCAAAGTTCTGAAGTACAAACTGAGACCTGGCTTACCTCGTATCACAGGGTATTTGCTTATTTCCACCAAGCCCTAACTTCAGCGCCTCGTGTTCCTCAATCGCTCTGTTGTAAATACTCACTTTTTATGTTTGAAGGCGGTCTTCTGCTCTCTCGTACCTGTAGTTTGTAAGTCATGCGCCTCATCGGCCTCTGCTGGTTCAGATGAATTAAATTAGTTACGTGAACATTCATCTCAACTTCTGATGACTAGCAGACCGGTTCATTTGTGTATGTGCCACATTTACTTTACATTTTCTCTGCTTTAATTCTGTTCCCTGAATTTCCTGATACGACTTATAATTTACCTAAACTGTGAACAAAAGACATCCAGTCGTCGTCGCCACTCGCCTCCAGAAAGAAATGGAGCAAATGACGAGACGATAGACTCTCTTAGACATTATTACCTCCCTATTGGCATCTTTTCTTGTGAGCAAGAAAATAAATTGAAAAGTTGCAGCATCATACTTACATCAGACAGAGATGGAAAGTAGACAACACCCTCATTTCAGTTTATCGTACCCATCAGCCCATTGCGTAACCGACATCATCTCAGTGTTCAGCCTTTGTGTACTTACTGGCAATCATTGTTATTTAATATTAACAAACATGCATAGTTCAAACTTCTCCACTGTTAATACACTCATAATTAACTAGTATCTTTAGGTTTTGAGGTGTTCTGATTTACATTTTTCACTACTTTGGGACATTTTATAAGCTGGAATTACACCTGAAATGACTGCATCGATTACATACGAGCATTGAGCCACAAGGACTTACTTCTAAAGCACCGTGTACTCCTTTTAAACATCAGTTTGTTTGACGGTCTGTTGTTCTTACCTCCAGGCTTCTATCTGCTGGACTTGACGGAGCAGTTTTCCCTCCCGGAGACCAGTCCACCCATGCTGGCCAGCCTGCTGGAAGCCATCGAGAGGAAAGGTGAGCCCCACCAAGGAAACGCTCTCCTTGGCATGCAGATGCTGTTAACGCTGACTGTGTGTTTCATTGTCACATTTTGTCCACCGGTTGCACAGAAGTCTTCTCAGTGACAACAGATAATGATTTGTGTTCTCGGTGATTATTTGCAGGTCTGGAAAACCCCACTTTATATCGAACATTTACTGCTGGCGGTGGACTTGAAGTCAGACAGTATTTTGAATGTGGTAAGTAGGTTTTTGTTTTTGTATCGTGAGAGCAGTATGTTCCCCATCGCTGAGTGAGGGAGACAGGTGATAGAAAGAGGAAGTCTCAGAAAAAGAAGAGTATGTGTGCGTAGACAGTATGTTAAAAAGAAAGGAAAGTACGAGGGTTTCTGAAGGCTCTATCGCAATCATGGTTGACTACGCATGATGTAGTTTTGCAGAGTTTGAGTTTTAAACGTATTTTGTTCTGTGCTTCAGACCCTCCCTCACCAGACCTGGATCAGGTGGAACTTCTCGTCCTGTGTGATGGTCTGCGCAGGTACCTGCAGGATCTCCCGCAGCCCGTCATCCCCACTGCAATATATACTCAGATGGTCCACACTGCCAAAGGTGAGAACCAGATGAGCCGCACTGATCACTTGTTCACTTGTTCACTGTAAAGCAGAAGTGCTGACGTAATGCAACCTCTGCAGATGAACATTCAGTACTTTGAACACAAAACCACACGACCTCATCGGTACTGTTTAGCCCTCAAAGAAGACTTTTGTATTTTAACTTTATTTGCTTTTTTTTTTTTTTTAAAGTGTAAAACCTACAAAATATGTAATTAGTGTTTTTTGTCACTCTTAACTTAGTTTCTGTCTGTCTTGCTTTTTCTGCTGCAAGCACAGAAACTCAAACTTCTGCCACCGCACACGCTGTTCTGAAGCGCTGCATTCTCTTGCTGTCACATGGCCAGAAACAGGATATCTGTGGTTAATAGGAACTAAAACAAGCCTGAGAGTTTATCTCTAGCATCTCTCAGCAGCCAATCACCTGCCAGTGTACCTTACGCTCATTGTCAACCACACAATCTCGCTGCGGCTTCATAACCCAACTGCACATGACATGCTTTTTTCCGTTTCTCCATTTTTCATTTTTAAAGAAACTTTTTTGAAGAAACACTTCACGCTCCTCTTCGACTCTGACACGATCAGTTTTTCACATGTCGCTGACCCTCTCGGCCGTTCTCGTCTTATTCAACAGAGGTGGGGAATCCTGAGGAATGTGCCAAGCTACTACGTCGCATCGGCAGCACCCCGAGCCTGCCTCCCCAATACTGGCTATCCCTCCACTGTCTGCTAAGGCATTTCTCGAGAGTGTGCCAAAACGGCTCCAAGAACCTGCTCAGTGCCAGAGCCCTGGGCGAGATCTTCAGCCCCGTGCTCTTCAGACAGCAGGCCACCAGGTGGGTGTCGGAGCTGAGGGATCACGTCAAAGATAGGCAGCAGACTCACAAGTGTGCAGGCTCAGTCATGCAACACCGAGACTCTCAAACATGCACTCGCATTTAGGCTGACACATGTACACACTGTCAGAGCGCAGTCTGTCAGGCACTCATGGGTTTTAGCTGCACACGATTTATATAGGTTGGAGCTTTTCTACTTACCAGCTGTGCTGCGCAATTAAAGTAGCTAAGCCTGAATTACCATCAGATTGAAGCCGGCACAGAGCAACCAGAGCAGCAGAGACTTTAACCTGGGCTGTAAAACGCAAACTTTATGTAACTTTTATTTGTTTTTCAACCCCTCCCACAGTTGTGAACCCAGCTTGGATGCTCACATCAAGATCATTGAGGTTCTGGTGACGAGCGAATGGAGTGAAAGTCAGGCAGCTCCAGGTATTTAACAACTTCCTTTTTCCATTTCCATCATCCACACAGTTTTAAATGCTTGTTCTGATAGAATGTTATGTATTTAAGAATGGAATGAGCATTACGTTGCTGCTGTTGGGTGCAGAGCATGGTTGTATGTTCTTCAGGGCCTGAAACACTGCAGAACAAGAGCTGAACGCCCTCAGGTCTGAACTATTAATAGCTTGAAGAAAGATGTTGAGACTTGCAACTGCTGCAGTTGTAGAGGTCCGTGGACTCCACAGTGGTGGTAACAAACTGACATTGTGGGGCAAGTTAACACTACTGTGTGTACTGGTCAATCAGTGCTGCAATGTCCCTAAAGGTTTACCTGCAGAGAATGTTTCATGTTTTTGACCTTGTTAGAAATAAATATGAGCTTATGAAAGAGTTTCCATAAGAGTTTATTGGATACAGGGTACAACTTATTTTTAGTTAACTGAGCGTGATGAAGGCGGTTGCTGGTGAGTTTCCGTTGAACAAATGACCGTGTAGGTGTGAGAACAGAAGGCTGATCAAATCTTCTGAGACACTCTGGTTTTCTTCTTCAGGACATTTCTTTTTTTTTTTTTTTTTTCGCGTGTGACGTTATTACTGTGTAATGCGTCAAACTCAGAGCCGCACAAAGTCGGGTCTCATGGCTGGCGCAGTGGTGGTCTGCCATGGATGAAGCTAAGCCGGTGGTTTGTGTGAGTGCAGAGCACTGCGTGGCACAGTTGTGTTTTTACAGTGCTAGTTAAAAGCACGCTCGTTGGCTGGCCCTGGACTGGCTGTGGCTGTTTAAACATTTTATTACCTGTTGGGTCTATTTATAATGTTCCCGTGCATGGGCCACTCTCAGCTGTCAGTAATTTGCACCTGCGGGGGCACTTTGGCACTCGGATGGATGGATGGATGGATTGAAGGGCAGGCCAGGCAGTGAAACACTTTTTTAGTTCTTTATACACACACACACACGTATCAACACAGGACCCAGTCAAATATACGACAAAGTTCAACTGTGCCTAGCTGGTTTCAGTCACCTGTCTTTACAGATAACTCGGTCGAGAGAGGAAGAATAGCCTACTTTGTAAATACACATGTACATTCTATACGTGTGTGTATGTGTGTGTGTGTGCCTCCCAGTTACTGCGTGCCTATTTTAAGTAAGCGACAAAAGGCCCACTTAGATTTGGTTGGCTGGAAAGTCGTCCTGCTCCACAGAGCGCTTCTTGTTAAGTGATGGCTGTCTCAAGCCCCCCCCCCCCCCCCCCCCCCCCCCCCCCCCCCCCCCCACACTCTCCCTCCGTCCTCCCCCCCACTCTCTCCCTCCGTCCTCCCTGCGCCTGGATCTCCACATGTCCTCCCTGCCTCAAAGTGCCCAGCTCAGCAAATATTTGAAACTTTGCAAGTTAATCATAAGACTGAACTCCCCCTGCCTCCTCCTTTACAAACAGAGAGAGAGGGAGGGAGTGACCGACCGACCGACCAACCAAAGAGACTGAGAGAGAGAGAGAGACACTCACACACACACACACACACACACAGCTGGTACGAGTGGCTGCTTTCAGAACAGGCAGCACTGACACCAGGGCAGCAACAGCTAATCATTAACTCTCTGCCTCCATGCAAGCTGGCCTCAGAAAGGAGGACAGAGAGAGACTCAGCCCTTCGCTCGCAGCAGGAACTCACTCAGTCCGCTAGACCAGTCGCACGTTGCACCTGCCTCACACCGAGCGGATTACCTGGGTTTCTTTAAGAAGCATATCAAGCTGTTACCTTTATAAGAGTTATGAAAGCTTTACTGGAGGACTTGAAAGTAACTCTGTTGGATTTAATTTACAATTTTGGAATAAAACAGAAGCTACAAAGAAGAGATTGTTGATTCCACAAAACATGCACAGCTTACAACGTGAGTTTGATGTTCTGCATCTCTTTGAATTGTCTTTTTAAATTGTCTTACGAAAGCGGAGCGGTGTGTTTCTACTGCTTCTGCCTTCATGTTGCAGCAGAAACGGCCCGTTTGAAGAATGAGACACAAATACCACAGCTTTACAGAAAGACCAGAACAAGAATAATAGCTTTGTGTTTCCTCAGAGCTCCCAGTCCGAGCCGTCGGTGAACAGTTTCGCCTCGGGCTGCTGCTGATGCCGTTTATTTTGTTCTCACAGACTGCATATAAAACGGTGCTTTGCTCGGAGGCAAGTTTTATGCATTTTAAGAGTTCAGTAAAGAGTTTCAGTTAGGAATTAATATTCCAACAGGAATGTGTGTGTCCACAGCGGAGGAGGGCAAGTTTATTTTAAACCAAATGAGTACTTAAACCCTACAGATAGTAATTTTCACATGCTGGATTTTCCTTACAATTCTTAAAGTAAGGGGCGTTTAGATCACAGACTTTGACATTCATACCTTTTTTTAAATACACTGATTTGTACATAATCTGCTCAGTTTTATTACTTCTTAAATGAAGCACGTAGAGGCCTTAGTTGAACCTAGCAGCACTGTGTTCCAGTTGAATCCTTCTACTTTACCAAGAACTAGGTCTATTTTCATGTCGCTCAGGAAATCAAGAGAGTTATCTCTGTCATGCCGAGTGTCACGCTGTGGGATTACAGGCGTATTTTGGAGCTCTGGGTGCCGCTAACCGGGCCCAGCATTATAATTTAGCTGCGTACGTGCTGCTGCAGCAGAGCTGGCTTTGTCTGAGTGCCAGCAGTGGGCCGGACTAAACCTCCGCACGGCACACGCCGAGAGGAGGGGCTGAGCAACCTGGGGGGGGGGGGGGGAGAGAGAGAGAGAGCGAGAGAGCAGCCGAGCTCGACACAGAGGGAGACGATGACCGAGGAAAAGCATGGAAACAGGCTGCAGGTCCGTTTTTTTTCCTCCGTTAGTGACCGGCGCGTTTAAGATGGATGCATACTAGGACGTAACGTTGGTTGCTGCATAGAGAATAATGAGGGTTTTTTTCCGTCAAGCTGCAGTGTTAAGAATTGAAGCAGGGAGGTAAAAGGCAATGGGCTTTCAGAATGACCTCATCACTCTTAGGAAATGAAAGATGCAGGAGTGGTTGGTGACATACCCCCCGCGTGATTGGCTGTGGTAAGTGACGTAACACGTTACTGAGCAGGCTGCACTTAATGGCTTTTCAAATGGATGTTTGGGTCGTATAAGGAAACCTTTTTATTTTGCAGTCAATCAAATATGCAAGCTGTATATCTGTAGAAATGTGTCTGTGGAGCTGTTGCAGAGCTACCGTTGAGACTTGATTGTCCACATATGTGGAGAGGCGATGCGATTGGAAGGCAGAGGTGCAGCGGAAACGACTCGCTGTGGTTGAGATGGCACGCTGCATTTTTGCACAGATTGTAAAGCTTTGCATTTTCATGCCATGCAGCGATGGTAGCCGTCTGCCGAGTGTACAGTGCCTGCGGTCTCGATGAGTCCTGCAAGGTCCATTGTAGCAGTGAGGGTGGTAATGCAGAGGGAATGAACAAAGGCAGTGCAGATTTGTGGGTTAAAAATAGCCCGCTACCTTAGCTAACGTCACGGTGAAACCACCAGCTTGTGATCAGCCACTGCAGATTCAAGATGATGATTTTCGATCACCAGCAGTCGTTAAAATGTTCCGTCACGTGATTATCGCATGAAAATGAACACAATGTAAATCTGACTCTCGGTGCTGCATTAGGAGATCTAATGGTCTGATTGTAAGCACACAGTTAATGTTAATTATGTAACAGAATGTGGTTATTGAGGATTAAAGCTGGGTATTTGCATTAGGTTTCATGGTTGCATTGCTTCATACATTCTAATCCCCTTTGTCACGATCAGTATTCATAGTGGGAGTTCATTTATTTCTGCATGAAAATCTATATATTCCGCCAACACGGAAATCTCCTTTTCCTGAATGAAATTCATTCTCATGACTCATGCTTCATGTCTCCTCCCACCGCCTCGCTGTTACCGCCTCTCTGCTGGAGAGGGGCGGCAATTTTTCATCCCCATTTAATCAATGGGGAGGGAGGGGGGAGAGAGTCACAGAGCTTGTGTGTAGTGGATCTCCCAGTTGGTCTCCAGTTGTGTTTTCTGCTGCTTTAAAGAATGTGTTAACTGCAGGTCGAGAGCCTCGTTGACGAGTCGCAACAAGCGCCAGAAAAGCAATCGTTCAATTCACGTTGAGAAGCCGTTTAATGTAAACATGGGCACGTTTCAGTACCTTTTGTTTACATTCTGTGTTCTTTCCTCTTTTTCCCCCTCGCAGCTCTACCTCCAAAGCCACCCAAGCCCACACCTGTGACTAACAACGGTATGAACAACAACATGGCGCTGCAAGACGCCGAATGGTACTGGGGAGACATCTCAAGGGAGGAGGTCAACGAGAAGCTGAGGGACACCGCGGACGGTACTTTTCTGGTGCGAGACGCCTCCACAAAGATGCACGGAGACTACACTCTGACTCTGAGGTAAGTTTGAAATCACTTCCTCTTATCGAGCATCTGTTTATTCACGGCATGTAGTTTAACAGGTTTTGCTTCTTTTTCTTTTGTTTTGTCTACAGGAAAGGAGGAAACAACAAGCTCATTAAAATATTCCATCGGGATGGGAAGTACGGCTTCTCAGACCCGCTGACCTTCAGCTCAGTCGTTGAGCTCATCAACCACTATCGCAACGAGTCTCTGGCTCAGTACAACCCCAAGCTAGACGTCAAGCTGCTGTATCCCGTCTCCAAACACCAGCAGGTAAGACGTCCGCTTATAAGTCTCAGCTAGCAACTCTTGCAATGCTTAAGTTCAAGCAATTCTTACTGCAACGTTTTGTTATGAATCTTTCCTTAGGATCAGGTGGTGAAAGAAGACAACATAGAAGCTGTCGGGAGGAAGCTCTGCGAGTACCACCAGCAGTACCAGGAGAAGAACAAAGAGTACGACCGTCTGTACGAGGAACACACCAGAACGTCACAAGTGAGTACCACCCAGAGTCCAACCACGATCAAGAACTTCACCGCGATGTTTGTACGACATACACTCATACTGTGCCTCTGCTTCCAGGAAATCCAAATGAAGAGGACAGCCATCGAGGCTTTTAATGAAACCATCAAGATATTTGAGGAGCAATGCCAAACACAAGAGCGGTACAGCAAGGAGTATATCGAGAAGTTCAGGAGAGAAGGCAACGACAAGGAGATCCAGAGGTAAGAATACACCACACTTCACCGTATCGCAAGGAAGAAAAGCACCGTTAACGGAAAATAAAAAGTTGTATTATGTTGAAATTAAACGTCATTGTTGCTTTCAGGATTATGGGCAACTACGAGAAGTTGAAGTCCCGGATTAGTGAAATCGTAGACAGCAAGCGCAGACTGGAGGAAGACCTGAAGAAACAGGCGGCAGACTACAGAGAGATCGACAAGAGGATGAACAGCATCAAGCCAGACCTCATCCAGCTCCGCAAGACCAGAGACCAGTACCTCATGTGAGTACAGCGCTCCATCGGTGGCTGCTCCTGAAACCTTTCATGCTTCCCTCTGGAGAACATCACATTGGATGTGCCCTGGTTTCTAATGTTCTCCTCTCCTGTAGGTGGTTGACCCAGAAGGGAGTCAGACAGAAGAAACTCAACGAGTGGCTCGGAATCAAGAACGAGAACACAGAAGAGTGAGCATCCATTTAACTTTTAAACCAATAAAACTGACTGCAGAAGGCATTTCCCTCGAAACTTACATCCTGTGTGTTACCTTGTTTTTTTCTAGTCAATATTCTATGGTGGACGATGACGAAGACCTTCCTCATCACGACGAGCGGGCCTGGAAACTGGGCAACATCAATCGACTGCAGGCGGAGGCTCTCCTCCAGGGCAAGAGAGACGGAACATTCCTGGTTCGAGACAGCAGCAAAGCGGGATGCTACGCCTGCAGCGTTGTGTACGTATCCGTCAGACAGCCGTTAAAAGGACAGAATCACAAACAAAAGTCTGGTTCCCTGTGTGAGAACAGGGTTTGTTCCTCCGGTTCCAGTGCAAGGAGGGAGTTTTATACTAAAAAGATATCTACTTGTTTAACTAAGACTGCTGTCGCCTCACACACTAGCCTCAGATATGTTTTGGCATGCATCTTTGCACAAAGCCATGACTCCCTTGAGTGATCTCTTATTGCCCAGTATGAACTGAAGGCATGATTACAGTGAGGCGAGTCTGCATTATTCTATATATGGGCACCTGACTTGATGTTGTTTTAGAATAGCGTGTGGTTTGTGGTTTTCTATAAAGCAGCAAGCGGTCGGAAAGAATGTTTTTATTGCCTGCAGACACCGAACAGATCGTGACCGTTCTCTCCTCTCTCTCTCTTTGCAGTGTGGAAGGCGAGGTGAAGCACTGCGTCATCAATAAGACCCCCTCAGGTTTCGGCTTCGCCGAGCCGTACAACCTGTACAGCTCACTGAAAGAACTCGTACTTCACTACCAGCACACGTCTTTGGTCCAGCACAATGACTCTCTCAATGTGACGCTAGCGTACCCGGTGTACACCCAGCAGAGACGGTGAGGACCCGGATGTTTCCACATGGACACAAAGAAAAGGCCTCATGATGAGTTAAGGATACCTTTCCTCGGACTCCATGATTTATAACAAAAGAAAACGGCTCCGTTTGCCTAACTCAGACTTGAAAATCGGAGGAAAAAGACGCAATGAAGCCTGAAACATTTCAGTGACTTTGCCCGACCAGGAGCCCGAGGCGAGTCTGAATGTAGATTTATTTCCCTCTCGCTTTTTGTTGGAGCACAGAATCAAGCGGAAACTGCTGAACTCTGCCGCAGTGGAGGACCTTTGAGGCCTTTTTCTTAACGGTGCTCGTTTATTTTTCAAAGCTTTACCGGCCGGGGAATGTCTAATCGCAACCGATAAACTCTTCTAACGGAACTGTACTCACCGGCCACAACGCTGTTTTCTTTCCACTTTTTTGTTTTCTTCCCATCTGTGTGTGTGTCTGTTTCTGCACAAGTGTTTCTGTGTGTGATTGTGTGCGTACATGTATGTATGTATGTGTGTGTGTGTGTGTGTGTGTGTGTGTGTGTGTGTGTGTGTGTGT